CCCAGTCCATCCCTCCCCCCCCCGCCCCCCCACCTCTTGGCAACCACAAGTCTGTTCTCTGTGTCCGTGAGTCTGTTTCTGTTTTGTAGATAGGTTCATTTGTGTCATATTTTAGATTCCACATATAAGTGATATCATATGGTATTTGTCTTTCTCTTTCTGACTTACTTCACTTAGTATGATGATTTCTAGTTGCATCCATGTTGCTGCAAATGGTATTACTTCATTCTTTTTCATGGCTGAGTAGTATTCCATTGTATATCTGTACCACATCTTCTCTATCCGTTCATCTGTCGATGGACATCCATGGCTGTTTCCATGACTTGGCTATTGTGAATAGTGCTGCTATGAACATAGCGGTGCACATATCCTTTTGAATTATAATTTTGTCTGGAGTGTGCCCAGGAGTGGGATTGCTGGATCATATGGTAATTCTATTTTTAGCTTTCTGAGGAACTTCCAGACTGTTTTCCATAGGGGCCGCACCAACTTACATCCCCACCAACAGTGTAGAAGGGCTCCCTTTTCTTTTCTTTTTTTTAATGTTTATTTATGTGTATCTATTATTTATTTTTGGCTGGGCTGGGTCTTCGTAGCTGCGCTGTCTTTCTCTAGCTGTGGCGAGCGGGGGCTACTCTTCGTTGCGGTGAGCAGTCTTCTCATTGCGGCGGCTTCTCTTGTTGCAGAGCATATGCACGCAGGCTTCAGTATTTATGGCTCGCGGGCTCTAGAACGCAGGCTCAGTAGTTGTGGCCCATGGGCTTAGTTGCTCCGTGGCATGTGGGATCTTCCCAGAACAGGGCTCAAACCTGTGTCCCCTGCCTTGGCAGACAGATTCTTAACCACTGAGCCACCAAGGAAGCCCTAGGGTTCCCTTTTCTCCACACCCTCTCCAGCATTTGTTATTTGTAGACTTTTTAATGATGGCCATCCTGACTGGTGTGAGGTGGTACCTCACGGTAGTTTTGATTGGCGTTTTTCTAATAATTAGTGATGTTGAGCATCTTTTCATGTTCCTACTGGCCATCTGTATTTCATCTTTGCAGAAATGTCTATTAAAGTCTTCTGCCCATTTTTCGATTGGGTTGTTTGTTTTTTTGTTATTGAGTTGTATGAGCTGTTTGTATATTTTGGAGATTAAGCCGTTGTGCTCTGCGTTCTTTCTTTACTCAACCTTTCCCTTTGCTTTCACCTTTCAAATTTGATTAGATGTCTTTTCCACAGAAGATGGCCCTCCTGTTCTCTCTCTTCACTGTTGTAAGTTTTTAAGTTCTGAAGTTGCCTTGAAATTTAATGAGATGCAGTGTCTGGAAGTAAAGGGAAAATAAACACACCCGTGTTTGTTCTGCTTCACCTGCTACCCTGCCCCAGGATTTTCCTCCTTGTTCAGCATTGTTAATGGAGCTATTCTGTGCGTGTCCGATGACATTCACTGTGTTCCTATCTAGAAATGCACTGCATATCTCTTACAGCCGATTGCGTTTCTTAGCCTGAATCACGATAGCCCCATTCTGCCGTACACGTCCCGGGTGGACTAGTGCCAAGCACCAGCACAGTCAAATCCAACAATAATGTATTTAATTAGAATCTTACAGAGAATGATTATTCCCTGTTCAGTGAATGCTTAGGTTTTATAGAGATGTCCCAGGGCTCCTTTCTCACTTGTGATAGATAGAAACGTTCTATGAACGTCTCATTTTAGTGTGTATTCCTAATCCTCCCTTTCACCAAATCCTTCTGCCACCCCAGCGGGCATCCTGTTCTGAATTGTTTGTGTTTGTTTTCGCTTGCTGGACACACTGTGTATCGACTTATCTTGAGCTCTTTGAGGACAGAGGCATCTCTTAACCGTTAACCCCCCACTGTACCTAGCACAGAGTAAGCACTCAGAAATGGCTGGTTCAGGACATGTCAAACCTGAGCTTTCCAGTACAGTATCCACCCGCCACGTGTGTCTCCCGAGCAGCTGAGATGTGGCTGGTCCAGACCTAAGTGTGTTACAAGTATAAAATACATACTGGATTTCAAAGACAGTATAAAAGAAAAGAACGTAAAATATTTCACTAGTAATTCTAATATTGATCACCTGTTGTAATGGTAATATTTTAGATTTATTGACTTTAATAAAATATTTTATTGTAAAAAAGAGAAATGGCTGGTTGCATAGATGGGTGCATTCTTTGTGACTTCCCTCCTGCCTCATTCATGATAAGGGCACTGGTACCTTTAACACCAGTGCATCCCTAGTTAGTCTATTTTTATTAGGATGAATATATATATATTTGCAACCAGGCATTATGACCCCTATATAATAATTATGCATACATTTCAAAATACTTATTGAGCACCTACTAAGTGCCAGAAACGGTGCTAGGTATTTAGACAGAAATGGTCTTTTCCTTCCTGCAGAGTCTGTCTGCTGGGGAGAGATTTTACAATAATTGCACACACAGATGGAGCATTTAAACTATGCTCAGTACATTGAATGGAAGATATGCAGAGCAGTGTGAGTGTCTAACAGGGAGAACTGACATAGATGGGGACGTTAGTGATGCTTGAACTAAGGTTGAAGAATGAGCAGTGGTTAACCAGGTGAAGAGGGGAGAGGATTCCATGCAGGGGGAACAGCAGGTACAAAGGCCTGGTGGTAGAAGGCAACAGGACAAGCACAAAGACAGGAAAATGATCCAGCCCAGCTGGAGCTTAGACTGTGTGGAGAAATAGCGGAACCAGAGCAGCCGGGACAGCAGACACGCAGTCAGACGTTTGATGCTGGAGAAGCGGGCACGTGTGTGTGTCAGAGAACCGTTTCCCATTCAGATGCTCTCTAGCTGATCCATCTGTCTGTGAGTCTCCTGAGGACACTGCAGCTGAGCTGAGCATCAGTGGAGCAAGTCGTACCGCGGTGGGTTCGACGCTACGGAGGACAGAGTGACAGAAGAGAACTGAAACTGAGCGGTGTTGGGACCGGGATAAATCTTTGTCTGCCCAGCCCCCAGTCCCTGCCTTCCCTTGGAAATTCAAGAAACCCTCAACTGATTCTTTGTCTTGAGTATGCCCCACTCTGCTCAGAATTTCCTGTAATTAGGTTAGTGATGCCCAAACCTTCACTTACACATCCCCCGGGGAGGGAGACAGGAGAGGAGAATATTGGGTGCGGGTGTTATAGTTTAAAATTAAAGTGGAATCACATTAATTTCTTCTTCTGAAACTACCTCAATGTCCTCTGAAATGAACGGAGATGGCCTGGGGTGTCCTGGGCCCAGGACTGACAGGTATCATCACACTGCATGTGTGTTTGGGGGCTTGGGCAGGGGTGACGATGCAGGACTGTCTGTACCTAGGAAGTCACAGCACAGATGTGCAGATGACAGGCCAGAGCTGACGGTCCTCTATTCCCACTTCCTCTCTTTCTGATGTGGAGACTGAGGCGACATCTTTAGGGTCTTATAAGTGGCAGAACACAGACCAGCACCCAGGTCTCCAGTTCCCCAGAACCACACCCTGCCCAGGAAACCTCAGATTCCAGAAAGTTCTGTGGGATTTTATTACTGGGCCAATGTCCTTACTGTTTGGGGAGGAAAAAATCACAGAGTGTGGCCAAGACCCAGGTCAAATTTATTTTTTTAAAGCTTTTTAACAAAATTTTTTTTTAATTTTTTTTTTTTTTGCTGCGTTGGGTCTTCATTGCTGTGCGTGGGCTTTCTCTAGCTGCGGTGAGCAGGGGTTTCTCTTGTTGTGGAGCACGGGCTCTAAGCTCGCGGGCTTCAGTAGTTGCGGTGAGTGGGCTCAGTAGTTGTGGCACGTGGGCTCAGTAGTTGTGGCTTGCAGGCTTTAGAGTGCAGGCTCAGTAGTTGTGGTGCACGGGGTTAGTTGTTCTGCGGCATGTGGGATCTTCCCGGACCAGGGCTTGAACCCATGTCACCTGCATTGGCAGGCAGATTCTTAACCACTGTGCCACCAGGGAAGTCCCCCAGATCAACTTTAGTGTGGAGCTTGGGGAGGGCCACTTTCCCTCTGGGGACATGGGTTACCTTACAGATGCAACCTGAGCGCTGGACCAGGTGCAGATCTAAAACTCAGAATTAGCTTTTGGAACCAGCTTGCTCTCAGAATCCCTTTAGACAGAGTGTCCCTGGCCCTTTTCTCCTCTTGGGGCAGAAGCCTCGTTCACCTCTGTTTTACCCAACATAGAGCTTCCCTAGAACCAGGTCATCCTCTTTGCGGGGCGGGGTGGAGGTGGAGAGCAGCTAATTCACTCCAGGAGCCGAAGAATCAGGTGGCAGCATTTTGAGCCCAACCTGCCCACCTCCACACAGACCACCATTCCTCTGCGGGCTGCTCGGGTGGGACACAGCGAGGCTAAGCCCAGAATTCTCAAACTGGTTATGCAAAAGATCCAGCAGTTCACTCTGGATCTGCCTCCCGTTCAGAACCCTCCACAGCCCTGCTCCAAGTGGGGATCCAGCTGGGAGCTCCCAGGCTCCAGACGCAGCCCAGATGGTCTCTGTACACGCCTTACCTGTCTCCTTCGGTCTTTTTATCACGATCACAAATCCACCTACTTTCATCCTTCAGATCCTTTGGAATCTGCAGGCAGATATGATCCTATCCTCGCGTTAGGCCACCATTTTTCCATCTCCTGTTCCCCCCCAGTGGGTTTTCTTTTGCAGGTTGAACAGCTTTTGTTATTAGAGAGTGGTTTGGCCTCACCTTTCAGGTTGTGGGTCGTTCCTTCCAGAGAGGCGTGCGCCATCCTTACGGAGCTCAAGTATGAAGGTGGAACCAAACGTGGTTTTGTGAGTGTGGCGTGACCTGCAGAGAAAGCCAGGAAAAATGACTTCCTTTGTTTCGGGCTAACAGTCGTCTATCTGTGCAGCCCAATACCACAGGTTTGGGGAAGTGTGAAGGTTCGGGATCTTCTTCTCCTGAGGCTGGCAGAGGGGCACAGAGGCTGGAATCTTGTGGCCATGCATATGCTGGCTTCATATCTCAGTAGAAAACTGTACACTTTAAAGATGAGAATCACAATTTAAGAAGCGAGTTAACGTTTTTTAGCCTCCAAACTTTGGTAAGGCTGGGTTGACATGATCTGGAGAAACTACAAGAAGAGCCTCATATTTGGTGGAAATGATTTGTAGGTAGCTTAGATACTGCTGCTTCCAATGGCATTCTCTCACACAGGACAGAATGTGCTAGATTGGCACGTGACTTCCTGAAACGTGCTGGGTTGCATGGTGACAAGTCAACAGAGCAATGTACAAATCCCACGCAGCTACTGGGACCTACTGCTCAGCCTTTTCACATTAGAACGTCCTTTTCAGGACTCTGCCTTAACCACAAATCTATCCAAGCTACCATGAGCTAGAGACGAAAGGAACAATTCTCTTTCTTGTTAAGAATTGGTCTTACAGACGCGACTTTTCCATTAAGATTCAAAAGCACCATCTGAAGAAGACATGGGAAGGGGTAAGTGGGTTGTGTAGATCTGGAAGAGCAACTCTGGCTGTAACTCTGCATTTTCCCAAAGAATGAGAAGGCCCATGGTTTGTGAACCAGTATTTTCAAGTTTTACCTTCTACTCTGATGTTTAACATCTGGTGGTAGGCATTCTGGTCATGCCTAAAGAAATTGCTTGTGAGAAAACAATCCCACTGTAATCTTAAGCATCTATATAAAGACTGGGTGCAAGGTGGTCCTCGAGATTCAGCTAAAAGTTTGAGTTCACAGTGTCACACCTGAGCAAAGACGTCTAACGCTGTGTAGCAGTATTGTCATATTTCAAAGGATTCCAGTCTAACTGTATAATAACTTTCCAGTTGATCACCATTTAAAACTATTTTTAGTTGATGGATAATACTTAAACAACTGTATCCTGTAATTACTCATCATTTTTGTCCGTGACTTAGGCATTTCAAAGGGTTCCTATATAGTTTAAATTTCTTGGAATTGATGCTTTTTCTGCAAAAAGGTCTATTATATAAATATCTTACTAGTATACTTAGTAGATAACACCAAATTTTCGTGTTCTATAAAAAATGGATATGCTAATTCCTCTCTCAATGTTTTCTCACTTTGTTAGAGTGACAGAAAAGTCCCTTCTAGTTAGCTTTTTATAACTCAGAATTCAGCCAGGCAAAATCTGATTTCATGGAAGAATTTGGTCACATTGTGCTCCAAGCTTTCGATCAGCCCCAGCGTTGACTAGGTTCAGCTCCACGCAGCAGCCTTACTGAGCCCTCTCTCTCCTCCCCTGAGCATCACCAAATGCTGACATCATAACCCCAGTGGGGTCATCAGAATCCTGCCACCCAACAATGAGCTTTTCCCGGAGTCTTTGCAGAGGGCACGGGTGAAAGGACAGTGGAGAAGGAGAGAAAATGGCAGTGGACGAGGCAGGTTGAGGGGCAAGATCAAGGAGGAAAGAGAGAGGAGGGTAAGGCTGGGATGGGAGCCAGCCACGTGTGTCCTAACAACAGCCCGTAAGCAGTGGCCTGGGCTGAGGGGAACTAGAAAGCTAGGAGAAAGAGGAAAATCAACCAGGAGGCCAGTGTTCCCATGAGCAGCGACCTCCAGATGAAATTAATGGACGTTGAATGGGGTCCTGCCAACACGCCCTCCAAGTGGGGAAGGTGAGGATTTCTGCTGGCAGTGAAGGTAAACGGCTGGTTTGCGGGGGTGGACATAATGGGGCATCAATCCCCACACGACACGTCCAAACGTCCCCCGTGCTGGCTTCTCAGCCACTGAACCCACCGAAGAATGGCATCAGTGGCAGAAATCTGGGGACACGACACGTCCAAACGTCCCCCGTGCTGGCTTCTCAGCCACTGAACCCACAGAAGAATGGCATCAGTGGCTGAGATCTGGGGACACTAGAGCCCTATCACGAGACTCTTGGGGTCTCAATTCTACCTTCTGTGAATTGGTTTGCTCTGGGCTGTTACACGGGTTTCCTCATCTGTTCAGTGTCACGGATTGCCTTCTTGTGGAGTTCTTTGAAGAATGGTAAACTATGGTGCATTATTTATACAAATATTTTCCAATATTTTATCTTAATGGGAAATGCAAAGGAAATGCCATTTAGATGTACGTGCAGGCATGTGATACTGAGAGTATTTTCAGGGAGTCCTGCAAGTTGGTGCCTAATTCTCATTAGAAGGACGAAGCAATAGGGACAGGAGCTTCGATTCGCAGACCAGGACCCAAGCAGAGCCCACAGCACCCCTGTGAATAGGTGACTCTGCCTTTTCCCTCCACCCCCTCCTGGCTCCCTCCTCCTCCCCTTGGTATAGGCCCAGAGCAGCTAGTCATGAATATACCAGCACACAAGCATTTACAGGAGGTGCAGTTTCGTTGGGATTTAAGAGAGTGGTTTCTTTCTTTGTTTTGTTATGTTTCTGAGTTGGGATATGGTGGTAGCCGCAGACCTCTCCAAACAGCCAGCTTGTGTGGACAGACACCCACACCAGGGTCCCAGCTGGGAAACAGGCAAGCACAGCTCCCGAATCACTTTCTCTCCCTGGTCTCTTGCCCTTCTTTAAGGGATGATGGCAGAAACAAATGAAAAAGCCGGTTTTCTACATCCAAGAAGGATTTCACTTCCAGGGAAGTTCTAAGGGCTCTCATTTCACAGCCTGGGGCAGGACTTATCCCACCCGGAGCCAGTGTGGGGATTAGTGTTGTTACCTGAGAAAACCCAAGGAGTTTGGAAAGGTGTTGTCCCTTCATCCGTTCTCCGTGACAACTGATGCCTGATCATTGCTTGACCCCAGAACTGGATACCTAGACCATCGCAGAAGCCGCCTACCTCTACTGTCTTCTGCCGCCCAGCCTTCCCGCCATCCCGCATCGCCAGCCCACCCTGGCCAGATTCATTTCCATAAAATGGAGGTTTCATAACATTTCCCTCCCTGCTTATAAGCTTTTAGTGGTTCTCCAGGGCCTTCAGTTTAAAGCATCATTTGCAGTGCCATTTTTTTTGCAGTAGGCGAATGTTCACTTCAATTGTAATTCTAAATGACTTACTTTCACGTTAACAGAGAGATTTCATAAACCAAAAAGAACCAAGTATTATATATTTTTTAATGGTTAATGTGATTCAAAGAATTTTTATGAAAAAGGGATCAAGAGCTGGTTGAAATTCTCACCATAAATATAAAATAGCTATTGCTGTCTTTATTCACGGTGAATTCAGATCTAAGCTCCCCGAAGAGCTGTACTCTCTAAAATAATAGGGATGACACGTACTTGACAGCCACGCTCTAAAGCACGGGCTCCACGTAAAGTGAGGTGGTTAAAAACACCAACTATAATACGAGGCTGCACTTGAGGCCATGACGTGCTGGTCTCAGCCCACTTGCCCATATTAACTGCTCAACAAACCCACGAGGATATTCGCTCTTTGATAACCTGCACGGCAAATCCCCAACACGTTTCTGACTTGCCCACTGCCAAAACTTCGATAAACTTGTCTTTCCACATTTACCTGCACCCCTTCCTCCCACCCCTGCAAAATCCCTTCTCTATTCATTTCCACTGCTTGTTATGCAATGATCCTTCAAGGTCTGGATCAGACCCCATCTGCTTAAGTAAATTAAGCACAGCCTGTAGCACCTTTTTCCACCCAGAACCCTCCCAGCACTCCTCCCTAACTCCTTGGGCCTTTGGGTCTTTGCCAATCATTTGGCAATATCGAACCAGTCATCTATTTTTTCTCAAGCTAAGCTGCAGAATTTATTCAAATGTCACCAGTTTTTCTGCCAATTACTTTTTCTGTTCCAGGATCGAGTCCAGGATCCTCAATGGCATTGAGTTGTCCTGCCTCCTTAGTCCCCTCCGGTCTGTGACGGTTCCTTGGTCTCGCCATGTCTTTCACTATCTTGACACTTTTGAAGGGTACTCATCAGTTACTTTGTTGGAAGTCCCCTCGATGTGGGTTTGTCTGGTGTTTTTTCAGGATCAGATAAAGTTGTTCTACTGTTGGGAAGAAGGTTACAGAGGGGACACGTCTCCTCAGTGCATTCCATCAGGGGCACGTGGTGTCACCGTGCATCACCTAAGATGTTAACCTGCATCCCCTGGTTAAGGCCGTGTCTACCAGGATTCTCCACTGGCTCTCCTGCATGGTTTCTGATGAGAAATATGCTGTAATTCATATCTTGTTCCTCTGTGTAATTTCTTTTCTCAGGCTGCCTTTGAGACTTTCTCTTTCCTTTAATATTCAGTGGTTCAATATGATATGCCTATGTTCATGCGTGTGTGTGTGTGTGTGTGTGTGTGAATATGGTTGCTTGGTGATGTTTGAGATTCTTGGATCTGTGGTTTGGTGTCTCTCACTCATTTTGGAAAATTCTAGGCCATAATTTCTTTAAAGATTTCTTCTGCCCAGCTATCTCACTCTCTTCTCCTGGCATTTGCTACATGAATGCTAGACTGTTTGACATTGACCCACCACTGCAGATGCGCATTTCTTTCTTTTCTCCTCCCTTTTACTCTTTTTCTCTTTGTGTTTCAGTTTGGCTGTTCCTGGTCACCTTACTTCAGCGTCCCTGATTCTTTCCTCACTATGTTGAGTCTATTAACGAGCCCACTGAAGCCAGTCTTCATCTTCATTACTGTATTTTCCATTTCTAGCATTTTCCTTAGATTCTTATCGTTTCCATCTCTCCAGTGAACTCATCTGATCTTGCATATTGTGTACCTTATGCATTAGAGACTTTACCCTATACATCAGATTTAAAAAAATGCAAGTCAGATAATTCCAACGTCTGTGTCACATCTCATCTCTTATTGTTACTGTCTCTTGGAAGCGTGTTATCTCGCCTATTCATCTGCCTCCTCGTTTTTTCTTGAAAGCTGGACATCTTGGTAGAACTGTAGAAACTTAGACAAATTGCTTTTAATCTCTAGAAATGGACCCACTTTTCCTCCTGGCAGGCCCTTAGCATGGGGGTGGGAGTTAACCTGGGTAGAAGTTGGGCTGGGCTTGAGGTTCCTTGTTGCTATGGTTACCCTCAGTGCACTGAACCCTTCAAATTCCTGTGGGAACACCTTGTGTTTCAGGGTGTGGTTTGCCCAAGAAATACTTGCCTGACTCTCAGCTTCAGACCTTCCCTTTGCACTGGGCCCCACAGAGGGTCCCTTTGCCTGTTATTCTTCCTCTCCCTGCTGTTCTTGTTACCCTGCTGTTGTTCCTGTTACAGCTCGGAGGTGTGGGGTGGCGGAGGGAGACGTTCTCTGTTGCTCTGACTAAGTCCCAGTGGCTGCCTCCCGTCCTTGGTTCTCCGAGGTCTGGCTGCCTTGGTTCCCCTGTCCCTGAGCAGCAGATCGAATAACAACCAACATTTTTAAGTAGTAATGAGTGTCTAGGATATTTCTCAATGTCGTCAACAACTTTATTGCGGTGTGAAAATATTTGTGATCTGTAGTTGGTGGCGTTGGTCGCAGGAACTGTTGCTACCATTGTGTGTTGTTGCCCTACGTTCATAACTGAAGGGAACGCTACTAAATGTGAGTTAGAAGTTAGTGAAATGAAGATTGAATTTTTTCCACATTGAACTCGTGAATTTGGGCTTTCTCTCCGTGGATCCTCTGGACTCCTAGCATGCTTTGAGAGAGAACTTGCGGGATGAGGGGTGGACGGCAGTAACCACATGACCTGTGACCAGAAGCAGCTTGTAGAGCTTCTCTCGTGAGTTAACCTGCCACACACCGCATGCTTCCCTGTGCTGCTCGGGGAACCAAGGGGCAGGAAGGCTACGTCCTGAGGACAGCCAGGCCGGTGCTGGGACACAATACACTACCAAACGTAAAACAGCTAGCTAGTGGGAAGCAGCCACATAGCACAGGGAGATCAGCTCGGTGCTCTGTGACCACCTGGAGGGGTGGGATAGGGAGGTTGGGAGGGAGGGAGATGCAAGAGGGAGGAGATATGGGAACATATGTATATGTATAGCTGATTCACTTTGTTATACAGCAGAAACTAACACACCATTGTAAAGCAATTATACTCCAATAAAGATGTAAAAAAAAAAAAAAAAAAAGATCAAAATCTCCACCCAGCCCAGAAAACCTCCACAAAGGGAGACGACAAAGAAATGCGTTTAATTATCGAATAAGCATGAAACCAGGCCGTCCAATAAGAGAGTGCAAAGACATGAAGGGATGTCACATGTTCATGTAGGCAGGCTGACATGTGTTCTCAGGTTAAACGACAACCAGTCCTCAGTAAGAGGACCTGACAGCACCATTTGTCACACACGGTTCACCTGGTAATGGGGTGACCATCTGTGTTAGCTTATTGCCTTTATCCAAAGGAAAAACGAAACTTCTAGTTCCTTTGTGACAAGAGCTAGTTTTGCACCGTGGAGCGAGGCAGGACACCTGCCAAAGTTAGGCACCTGCCCTCCCAGGGACGCTGGGAGACGGGGGGGCGGGGGGGGGCATCTTTCTGTTTACATTTCTGAGAGGTGGCTGCCAGGTGCTAGGAATATTTCTGAGTTGTACAGGTGCCCAGAGGCTTATTTAGCTTTTAGAAAGATTTACTTTTTAAGATTTACTCTCAAAGGGGCAGAGAAAGAATGTGTAGTAAGTGTCCAATAGTAAACGTGCTAAGGAGAGGGGGGAGGGGCAGGCAACCTCTTTCCCTTGTCGCACCAGGGAAGATGGAATCTTGTCTTGGTTTGTGCTGACCGTCACACCAGAAAGGAGCAGTTGAGTCACAGCTCCGTACTTCCTTCCACAGAACGGAAGGGACGAAGGGTGGAGAGAGAGGCCAGAGGTTTACTGAGGCAGCGTTCCCATGGGTGCCAGAGGAGGCGATGTGGACGTTCCATCATCTTTGATGCTCCTCGTAGGTGCATGTCATTTTGCTCAGGTGTGATGCTAATGTTCTGCTTTGGGTTAAGGGAAAATTGAATTTAGTCCTCCTCAGCACAAAGGAACGTGTGCTTTAAAATCCAGGAAATTGACTTTAAGTCTCCGGAGTGGTTAATCCCTCTCCCAGGCTAACTAAACCTAGCCGATCAATTCAGCAGTCATTCAGCGTCTCCTCTGAGACCTCCCTGGGGGCCCAGCATGCACTGGACACCATGGAAGAGAGACGGGTATGAATTCATTCTTGCATTCAAACTGGGGAGTCGACGCCACATTTGAGCCACAGGGCACGAGCTCCCCACTTTCCCACATGCCTTCATGAGGCCTTTCCACGTGCTGGTCCTTCGGCCTGAAATATCTCCTCCCACTCACACTTCATCAGTCAGGAGTCTTCCCCAACCTGAAGGCCCAAAACGTGATACTGTGTTCCGTATCAGGCTTCTAAGTGTTCAAACTAAATAATAATAATAATAGTAGTAGTAATTATCATTACTATTATAAAACTCACCAGAGTGGACCATGTATATTGTGCCAGGCATTGCACTAAGTACTTTAGATCATTTATTCCTTCAAACAGCCCGTGAAACATATTTCACCCCAGTTCAGTAGAAAAGGAAACTGAGGGTCAGAGAGGTCAAGATCACATAACTAGCAAGAGGTGAAGCTGGGATCAGAGCCCAGCGTGGAGCCCCTCGCCCTGGCGTCTCCCATCAGCTTGATCCGGTCTTCTCTGCTCTTCCATAGCACCTGCTTCTCTTCCTCCCTCAGTTCTCCCTGACATCAAGGCTCGGATGTTTGACAGACTTACGGAGGCCTTGAAGGAAGGTGCCACGTCTGGCTCCCGGCTCGCTCTCCTACAGTGTCGAGCACTGTGTCTGGGGTACGCGAGGTGATGGAAAAGGGGGATACGAGCAGAACTGGGGAGCACTGGACCAGGGATGGACAAGCAAAGCTAGTCGTTCCTATCATGTTAGTGACCTGCGACTTTGTACTGTAGGTTGGGAGATGACCCGAGTCAATACAATTTCTCCCTTGAAATTTTGGGGTTAGGGGAACTGAGGTAGGTGGTCATGTGAAGGAAAGAGCTACCTGGTGAGCTGTGTGTAGGAGGCAACCCTGGAGAGGAAGCAGAGGAAGCAGCTGGGAGAGGGGAAGGGGGCAGAGCTAAGCAAGTGGAAAGACAGTGAGGGACAGAGAGAAATCTGCCACAGTTCAAGGCCCATTGCTGGAATCCCTGGCCCCTTTCAATGTATCATGCTCCATACACACACACACACACACACACACTCACACTCACTCACTCACTCTACTTGAGTTGTCTTGTATGGGTTCTGTTATAAGGACATTTAGAAGGAACATAAATGACATGTTGACCCTTGGCACAGGGTGTTGGGAGAGGAGATGGTGGGCTTTGAGAGAGGGAAGGCCAGCCGGCCAGGGTACGGGATGAAGGGAAGTGGACTCGGAGAACACTGGGTTGTAAACGTGACTGTGCACTTGAATCTCATGGGGAGTTCTGCGGTGTACCGATGCCTGGGCCCTGCCTCCAGAGACTGTGGTTAGTTGATGTGAATGCTGGTCTGGGCATCGAGAGTTTTAACAGTTCCCCAGGTGATTCTAATATGTGAGAAGTTTTCCTGGCTGGTCTGGGCATCCAGAGTTTTAGCAGTTCCCCAGGTGATTCTAATATGTGAGAAGTTTTCATGGTAAACACTGCTTTACCGTGTTAGGGGTGGATGAGAATGTCCAATTCGGAATAATTTTACTTATTCTCAGAACAAGAGATGATGAGAGCGATGACTTGAAGTCCTTGAGTATAGAGTGACTTTCCTCAACCAACCCCAGGTTCTAGGTCAACGATTAAAGAAGTTGTGTTTAGTTAGGCTCCAGGCAACGAGCAGATGCCAATGTGCCTGGCTATTGGCGAGTTTAAATGCTGCATGTTTACAGATATGAGAATTTGTTGGCAAATCCTGTCCCTTCTCCTTTTTTAATTGTTTGTTTAGAGACGACAAAGGATTATATCAGTTAGCATTGAAGATTTTATCTTAACTGGGTACAAACAAAGGTCTATCAGCTGAAAATTCTACTAGTTGAGCAATGACCTTGGGGCTAGCCCTGAGCCCACGGCCTGTAACGGGTTGCACAGTGTCTTCTTGCAGGAAGCTGATTTTATCCTGTAGCCAGCTTCCCTCAGTGAGGTCAGAGGCTGGACCACTATGTTTAGCTTTGGGGTCCAGGTTTCTGGTGGGGCTCCACCTTCATGATTTCATCTACAAGCCTAATTCCCTCCCCATACCAAATGCCATCACACTGGGAGTTAGGGCTTCAACATATAAATTTGGGGGGATATAAAGATTTAGTCCGTAGCAGATGCATTTCCCAGTTGAATTCCAAATATGTTTTCTTCTCAGGTAGATTCATCTGGTGTGGCCTTGCCAATGATTAACATACCAGTCACCAGTCACTGTCCCAGGTTCCCTAAGTGGCCTCACTCCTGCCACCTCATCTCTCCTCTTCCCTTCACCTCCCAACCTTCTCCAGAATCCAGCAGGACCCTGCTCTGCCGTGCTGCATGTCTGTTCTCATTGGCAAATGCCTGTCTCAGACCAAACAGAGTGACTGTCAGTCTTGGGCCTGGCAAAGGAGAGACACTTGTTCACTACAAGGCTGGGGTAAAAACAGGGAGGGAGGAAGGCTATAAAGCGAAACTCAGACATTTGGTGTGTGTGACGTATACACCAAAGGACATACCTTCCGAGGTGTGAGGGCTGCTTCATAGAGACCTGGGTCCTGCAGGCCTGGCTGTGGAGGAGGAAGAGAGAACGATGTAGTTTCTTAGCAAAAATGTATTTCTTGTCCTCCCCTGACTCTTTAGGAATCTCCCCCATGCGGCCAGGGGAGAAAGGATGTCCCAGCCCCGCTTGATCACCGGGACGCAGGCGGGGAGCCACTGCCGGGGTAGTCAAGGGACTTGGCGTGCTCCCCCTCCCCCATCAGAGGCCAGCGGTGCAGGGCCGGGGCGGGGGGTGTCTTCCTTCAAGCCCTGCAGGTGCCAGCCCGCTCTGCACAGGCTGGCCTCCTCCTGTCGGTCTGCTCCGGCACACCCGGCCTAGAGCAGTGCACGTTAGCGCCTGCCCCTCTTCCTCTGGGGCCGGGCAGGTCAAGTCCCGCAGCCATGTCCAACCGGTCAGTTCATGGTGGCACTGAATAGGGTCACAATTTTTATGTGTATCTGTGCCATCGACCGACATTACTGCCCCCAACCGAACACTCAACGGAGGACAGACGCCGCGACTGGCCTGGTCCCCGCTGGAGCCCCCAGCGCTCAGCATGGGCACAGGGCGGCACTCAACACATGAGTACTGAATGACGGCGGGGAGACAGACGGGGCTGGGGCTTGCGGGGGTGGTGACTGCTCTCCATGCCAGGCAGTGTGGCCCGCCGGCCAGTGGGGGACCTGCGTCTCCCTCTGCCCTGAGGCTGGGGGCTCTCCTTGCTTCCCTGCTGCACGGGGTGCCTGAGTCCCATGAGTCTGGGACTCTGCCCAGCGCGTGGCCCAGGGGAGGGTGCACTGTGCTGTCTAATTAATGTATCTGTTAGGGTGAATTAGGGTGGTGTGGCCTTCAAGCTGTGGCCAATTGTCAGCCGCTCCCCTTAATCTCCCTGCGACTTCTTTTGCCCTCTTGGATGCCTCAGCCTTCATCTATGATCCTCCCCCTAATTTGGGGGTGGGCCCTCTGTGCTTTGGTTCCAAGCATTCGCTCACCCCTGGTGTACCCTCCCTCCTCCTCCTGTGGAACCCAGGACCTCTCATATCTGCTTCTTCCCCCAAGAAACTCGCTTTGGTTAGCCCGCCCACGGGCACCCCACTGGATTGGGACCCACTCCACTTCTGGTGGATTTCCACACTGCTCTGTGCCCTGCCCTCCGAGGGGGCGGCGCAGCACTGGGTGGTCCCTGGTTCCCATCTGATTCTTGAGGCCTCGAGCAAGGGAGTGCCTGTGCTGAAGGCCTCCAGCCAAACCCTGGCCTGGCATCCTACAGAGATTCCCTCCCTCCCTAGGAGACCAAGTCAGGCACCAGAGATAAAGTATAGCCCTCTGGGGGAAATTCATTGTTCTTTCTCTGGTATCCTTTCTGCCCTGGGCATTTACCGTAACTAACCACTGTTGTCACTGTCAGGAGATGAGTCAATTGCATACCCACCTGTATTGTTTCATGAGACTCAGGTGAAGAGGGGCGAGGGGTCACCCTCCTGTCTCCCCTCCCCCTTGCAGAGCCCTTTCAATTGTGTAGGTAGTTAATCTGGAAAACTTCAGAATTCCCAGGATTGTTATTGTCACTGGATAGAAGGACGGAGATTTCCAGCTGGAATAGGGCGGCTTAGATCATTCTCGTCGCTTTTCTATGTAGAGAAAAGTTCTGACAATCGAGGAGTTGTAATTGTTTAGCCTTACACATCATCAGCCTTCTCTAGGTGTCCCTCCTAGGAGGAAGGTCAGCAGCCTGCCGGGTCTTGAGGCTGGGCAAGCCGGGCAGTCTCTGTATCACAGCTGGGCTAAGCACTGAACAGATCCTGGGAATCACCACTCCTTAATGTATACGGTTCTAGAACTTCAAAATCTTACAAGTTAGCAAAGGCCATGTATTTCACGTGATGGCCATTTCCATCCTCAAAGTGGATCTTCCTCCGATTTTCCAGATAGTGAAACCGAGTCTGAGTCTTTTTAGGATCGAGGGTGCTTGCATCGCTTTGCCCTGGCATCACTCCTCCCTCCTTCCTCCTCCAGAGGCTGGAGCAAGTTTACGCATCCCGGTGGTTTCCTTCTCCTCTTCCGAGTTGGGCTGAAAGCGGCAGGTCCAGGGATTGGCCCAGGGGATCACCTCAGCTGTCCTGGCTGAGTCACAGCTGGGTGACTGCTTGGTTGCAGACCGCACAGCAAGGGCCCTCCCAGGGGGACTCCAGCCAGGGCAGGATCAGCAGGGCAAAGGGCTTTCGTGAATCCAGCTCAGTTTATACTGAAACGTGATCTAGTGTCTTCTCCTCATTGCTTGTTGGAAACAAATTCTCCCTGCAGAGTCTGGACTTGTTTAGATGCAGTGGAAATAATGGGGATAGCAGAGAAAGATAGCAGATGACCCTAAACTTCTACCTAGAGCCAGCCGGCTTCTTCAACGAGCACCAGAAGCCTTCCCCTTCCCGACATGTCTGGGTTGGCTGGAAAAAATCCCAGTCTTAGAGTGGCCAGAAGTGCACTCGTATTTCCTTCCGAGCCCGCATCTTCCGTCTTCCTTCTGCATCTCAGTAAAGAGCACTAAGGTAGGCGAGGAAGGAGGGGCGGGCTGCCCCGGCACTTCCTGCGAGGGAGGCTCTGCCGCCTGCGGCCGGGCGGGCCCTGAAAGCAGCCGAGTGGCTCGAGTCTCGTGAGGCCCCTTGCGCCGCCCCGCTCGCCCCGCCCCCGGGGGCCGGGCCGCGCAGACCGGGAGCGCGAGGCGGGCTGGGTGTTTGCATACAAAGGCGGCCAAGCGTGCGGCGCCGCAAGGTGAGTACCAACCTCCCCGCCGCCAGCCTGCCGTGTCGAGCCTCCGTGGAGCCCCGGCCAAACCCCGGCCGCCGCCGAGGTAGGGGCCACAGCCTCTGCGGGGCCAGGCTGGGCAGGGCGGGGCACCGCCCGGGGGCGGGGGGCGCGGTCGGGCCGCTGCCGGCCGGGGGATGCGGGACGACGTGATGCCCGGGGACCACACTCTGTCCCCGCGGCCCTTTCGGGGCAAGTGTTTCAGGGAAGGAGGCGGAGAACAGGCCTCAGGGACCCGGCGGCCTCGTGAGCTTCCCTCGGGCCTTCTCCCAAAGGGCTGACCTTGATCGGCGTGGCGAACTCGAGGGGTGGCCGCGGGACTCCGTCCTGGCAGGACGTGTGGGTAGTACTTGGGCGGCAAGCAGCCCTTGCTTAGCGCCGGGGACTTTTATGAAACTGGTGGGGAGGTGGGGGTGGGTTATTTGGGATTCCTGCTTTGCTGTTGAGGAAACAGGCTCGGGGAGGTTGACTTACGTGCCCAAGGTCACACAGCTGCCGGGTGGCAGGCTGAGCCCGGGTTGGAATCCTGGTTCTCGGATTACATACAGTCTGGTCCCTCCTCTGCCAGTTTCTGTGCACCTTTCCTGCAGCCTGCTGGGTGCTAGGCCTTCCATCAGATGCCCCTGCGAATAATTTTATTTTGGGGAAGGTGGGGAAAATGTAGGATGAAAAGTAGTGTTTGGGAAATACCTTGAAGAGCCGCGGAGCAGGGGTGTGTATAGATGCCCGGCTGGTCATTTGCGTGGAGGGTAGTGGCTGGAGAACGCAGATGTCAACCCGGTTTTGACCAACAAACAGGAACTTGACTAAAACAACTGGCCGTGTTAATTCAGAGAATTTTTAGAGCCCAGTAGTTTGGAGGAGTTTTTTGGAGACATGAGCTTATCAGCTGTTTTTATGGGAGGGGGCGGGTAATGGGGGGGTGCTTGTGAAATTTACTGTTTGTCCCTGTTCTATAATTTGGGTCTTATGAGTTAAAGTAAGCAGTTGCGGAAAGTACAGCAACTGAGAAGTAAACACACACGTACGCGTCTTCCCCCCAGAAATGGTGGAAATCTAAGAGTTTGTCTTCCGGTTCTGTGTTTTGATAATGCTTCGTTCACACCTGTTTTATTGTCGAGTGTTTTGTGTGTGGGTGTGTGGTTGGAGCTTTTATGTGTGTTTGTGTGGAGGGCTGTATGGCGTGGAGCCAGGCCTGGACAGAGCCCTGGACCTGAACTTAGTGGGCCTGGAGACCTGGGCTCTCGTCTGGGTTCTGCGTTAGCTTGGCAGTGGGGCCCTGCCCAGGTGCCTTCACCATCCTGGGTCTCAGTTGCCCCAAATCTCAGCACTCTGGGAAAGAATGGCTGCAGAGGGCAAACCTGCTGAGTCCTGTCGCAAGGGAGAGAACTTGGGCACTCGGGTGGGGCACCGACGGATCTCCTGGTCTTGAGGGGACCTCGGAGAGGCTGGGAAGTCTGCCCTGGGAGGGGGTAGTGTGGCCAGCCTGGCCAGAAGGAAGTCTGTAAGCCTGCCCCCCACCCAGTCAGCTGTGTTCAGGGCCCTGGACCAGAGGGCGGGGTGGAGGGCAGGAGATGGAGAGAGATTTCAAAGGAAGGGCCTGAGGCCTATGGCGCACAGGCTGGTGCAAAGAACTTGGCTTTGTAGTTTCACCCACTTGTAACTGGGGCCAAAGACACATTCTCTCGAGTGTCTCTTGAGTGTTTCCTCTCCTAGGCAATGAAGAGAGAATCACACCCATTTGCAAGTTATGGTAAACGTGTTCACTGAGATACACAAGAGCCCCTGGGAAAGAATGCGGCGTCCCTGTGGTCACTGTTATTTTAAGGGAGGAACGCAGGGTGCCAGTGAGGAGGGCTAATTGTGGAGTTGGGACAGTCCTGCCTGACTCTGGCCTCTGGGCTGTGAATCAGCGCTGTGGGTCCCCCCTCACACTGCGAGTTGGCCTCCCCTGGGTCCTTTCTCTTCCGGGTTCAAGGTCTAAAAGGTACCTCAATGTGATGAATTGATTTGGGCAGGGGTGCCGATGGGCATGGATGACACTGCAGGCAGCTCATTCCAGGGAAGGCCTGTTGACGGGAATGGCCTTTGGAGCATTTTGAAAAAGACCTAGGAGACGGTGGTCCAGTTGGGACACTGAGGCTGCTGGTTTGACCTGTTTGCACGTCAACTTCCTCAGCGTGACCGAGCCATGAGAACCGGGGGCTGTTGAGGTGACAAGGAACGTGCGAGGCCGCGACGTCCGGTCAGCGTTGGGGCGAGTGCCCTGGGGAGGGCGGGCGAAGTCCCACTTCTTAGGTTTCACTGAACCCTGGCCGGGTTTATTACGCCCGGAGCCCACTCACTTAGAATCGGAGTGGGATTTGTGAAAAGAAGTCGAGCAAAGTCCGAGCAAAGCCCATCAGCGGGAGTTTTCTAAGCTGTGAGCAGAGGGTCTAGAAAGAGCAGGGGCCTGACACCTGCTTTCATTCCCGGCAGCAGGTCCAGCTCGGGGGATGCAATGTGCCGGGCTCGGGAGACCCTCCTGACAGTGGGGGGGGACTGTGACCTGTCCCCCTGTCCTGTGTCCTCCACACCTCCCTGTGTGCCCCTTCTCCTTCCTCTTCCCATGTCTCCCCCCTGACCCCGCCCCACCTTTTATTTAAGCAACAAGAAGTGAATACTGGCCCAGGCCAGTATTCTTCACAGTGCCGCCTGTCACCCTCTGGTCCTAAAATCAGTTTAGTAGGCCCATGGGCATTTTAGAAAAGGTGAAATAGAATAGAAGAGAAAATCCCAGACCCGGACATACTAATCTTAGGTGAGGTATTGTTTTGTGAAACTTGTTTAGCTGAGATGGCGTGTGTGTGTGCCCGTGTGCCCCCGCGTGCGAACTCTGGTGGAGGGAAGCGGGGTGTGTGAGACCCAGTGCCTGGTGTGCGGGGAGGGGCCCGCGTGTGTCAGGCGAAGGGGCAGGGCTCCATCTGGAGAGGATGCTTTTCCGTGCCGGTGATGGAAACCACATCTCTCAACACGCTGAGCAGGTTTGGGATTCTTGCGACAACCTTTTTTCCTGCTGCTGAATGCTGGGCTTTCGAGTAAAGAGCTACAGGTTGTTAGAGCAGAGTCATGGCTCTGCATCGACTGCCTGCCGACCACAGACCCTGCATTCGAGACACCCTGTGTGCCCAGTGCTCCTGGGACACCATCAGCACACTTCCACCATGTGCCTCCTTCCCGGAAGGCCCGTTATCTCCTTGGACACATGTCTTCTCTCTTTTTGGTGAAATCTTCCTCTGCATTGATTGGTCTCTCTAGGCATCCACCTTTGGTTTACAGAAGATAGAGGCAGCGAGGGTCGTGGGATAACTGGGCACCCACAAGGCAGCTCCCCGCTTTGGCCAGAGAATTTCCTGCCGGTGGACTCTGCATCGCTCCAGCCTGTGGCCCAGTCTTCGGGGTGCCTTTGGGCTCAGATTTTTGGATAAAATGGAAATGTATTCCCAGCCTATTGGAATCTAACCATACCCTTCTGATATTTCTGTATTAATTTCAACCAGTAGTATTCTTTGGCCCTGTCTTTTTGGGAGGGTGCGATCTGAATAGTTGACGTATGCAAAGCGCTGTCAGGCTGCAGCCTTAACTCACAGTCCGGCCTTTGGTGCCGTGTGTGACCAGAGGGTTAGCACCTGGCTTTCGTTTGGCCGTGCACTTGGAAAAGAACTCCACGTTTACCCATCCTATGAGGTGGGTGCTGTTAGGGTCGTCTGTTTTATAGATATGAGACTGGGCGGCCGAGGGGTCGGTCAGTCGTTCATGGTCATGGCTTAGCAGGTGGTGGAGCTGGGAGGTGAAGGCCGGCTGTCTGCCTCTGCGGACTAAGCTTTTACCCCTGAGCTGTAGGCAGCACTCTTGAGCGTCTGGGTGATATTTGGGTGGAGGGAGCAGGGTTCACGCAGGAGTCACAGAAGCAGGGCTTTCTTTTTGGCCAAGACACAGACCTGGACAGAGGGCCCTTGCTGGGGTGGAAAGAGAGGCTGCAAGCCCTGTGTTCCATTTGTGAGTTGCGGGGTCAAGAGCTGGGGGATCGGGGTCTAAACCTGGGCCTGTTTTTCCAGCACATTGGCCACCGGGGTAGTTCAGCTGCCTCCACCCTCCACCACCCAGGCCTTTTGTGCTCCTTGGCAAGGACCTGAGAACACTCATCACACGGGATTGTAAGATCGGAGCATTGCACAATCCCAGCGCTGGAGGAGCGGTCACCCATCTGACCCTTCCGACCAAAGCAGGACCACCGCGCATCGCCCCCGCCTGTCCAGCAGTTTCAGTGCTGGGGAGACCCTGACACCGAGCAGACCAGAGTTTGCCATCCCTCCCCCAGTTCTCTGAGGTCATTAAAAATTAACGTTAAAGCAGTACATGCGCATGTAGAAAACAAAACCCAGGAACCAACGCCTTGGAAATATTTGTGATGAAAAGTGAAGGTCTCCTCCCCTTCCCCAGGCCTGTTCCCTAGGGTGAGCCTGTGAACCTTTTTGGTATGTACATCAGTCCATAATTTTTTTGTGCATATGAGAATATGTATAAATGTAATTCTTAGAAATGGGTTCATATTATAAATATTTTTGTACTTTTTTCACACAGTATATATACCTTTTCATGTTAGTATTTGGAGAACTACCTCTCCCTCCCTTTTTTTTTTTTAACAGCCTCATAATATTCAATTATATGGTGTGGGTGGTCTCTAATTTACTTAACTGAAGTCCTGTAGATATTTGCTTCTAATTTTCCTTATTATAATCAGTGCCCTGATTACTGTTTTGTACATAGCAGAAGAATTGCTGGAGTTTGCTGGTGTGTGCAAAAAATGACAGCTATTGTCACAATGCTTACCCCGTTTATTACCCCTCCGGCAGGGAGTGGTGAGTGTTCGTTTCCTCCTGTTCTCACCAACCCCTCAGGTTTTTACAAAATGCTTTGATTTTGGACCACCTGAAAGGCCTCCTTTGATTTGCATATCTTAAATTGTGAATAGGATTGAGTATCTTCTCATACATCTTTGACCAAATGGACTTCTTTCTCTGTGAACTCTCTCTCTTTTGCTCATTTTTCTGTTGGGTTGGTCTGAGGGCACCTTAAATTGACATTAATATTTTAGAGGTGGATGGTATTAGCAGAGCCACGGGGTTACGAGAGCTATGGCTGGGGTATTGAATTTTGGCAGAAGTTCCAAGAAAGCAGTGTTTCTTGGCAATCTGTGAACCCTGGAGAAGGATTCTGCCAATTTTGGATGAAATGCTGACTCTTCTGGTGTCACAATGAGGAGAGAAGTCACGAGACTTCCCTTCCCTCACCTTGACAAGTGTCCGCAGCGCTGCCCCCTGGAGCCATACGAGACTGGGGCAGCTGGCGCGTTTGTGCATCTGCTGTGTGCCCAGAGTGTGGGGCTCCTCCCCTGTGGGCGGCCTTCAAGGAGGAGAAAGTCTCCTCGGCCTTCCCTTCCCTCTCTGTCTTTGCTGAGTGTCTGGAGTTATTCTGGACGCCCGCTTTCCTGACTGCCTTTGCAGAGCGGCAGCCCCCTGCATCCTGGGCACACTCACGCCCCACGCCTCCTGCCGTGTACCCTGCGTCCTGCAGGATGGCCTGCAGCTGGCTCGCCCTTCCTCTGGGCCTGGAGCTGAGCTGTGGTGGGCAGGACCTGCTTAATTCAGAGAGGGCTTTGGCGCGGGGACCCCAGGGTGGGCTGGTTTTGCTGCTTCATCACTTTTGTCAGGAAGTATTG